TCTAAATATGTCCCTTTTGATTAATTTTTATCTTGGTTATCATTTGTTTCTTATGTTTTCTGTTTTCTGTCTTTTTTTTTAGACATTTGACCTTTTGTTTCTTATACTGTTAAGAACTGAGCATGGACTTTTAAAGATATAAATAATGCCACAGCATGGAGCTTAAATGGTCTCTCACACGTTTTCAACTTATTGAAAACATGGTCCTATGGGAAGATTGTAGAAACATGAAGAAGTGAGGTCTAGTGGTGGTGGAGTCTTCAGGTCATTTAGGGCATGGACTTGAAAGCATTATTGGGATCCCAGCCTCCTCTTTTGTTCTCTGGCCAGAAGCTGATCTATAATGAACTCCTGCTGTATTTTGTGTTACTATTGGCTGAAAAGCAATGGGGAACTAATTGGTTATGGATTGAAAGCTCTAGATTGTTTTCTGTATTTGTTACTTTAAAGGTACACTGACACAAACCCAATGTTCCCCCTCCTCCCACTTTGATTTTACTTCATGTGTTTGGATGTTTGCTTAAATGAGTGCCTGTGCACTCTGTGCATGCAGTGGTTTCAAAGGCCAGAAGAGGGCATCAGATATCCTGGAGTTGAAGCTGCAGATAGTTGTAAGGCCCAAATCGGTGCTAGAATTCAAACCTGGGTCTTTAGGAAGAAAAACCAGTGCTCTTAAATGTTGAGCCAACTCTTCAGTCCTCCTCTCCCTTCATTGTCTTTTTTAAAACTACACTTATTTATGAAATGTTCTGTTATGTGACATACTTTCCCTGGAGAGAAGCATACTCTACTCATCTACAGAAAAGAAAAACATGATTGACCAAAGTAACAATTGCACCAATGTCCAATTTGGTAAACTAGTGAAGTTTTTTGTTTGCTTGTTTTTGTTATTTATTTTTATTTATGTTACTAACAGGAATATAATGAGGGGTTACCTACAGGAACAGGAATGACTCAAAAAAGCACTGCATTATAAAAAAGCTCAGTCACATGAGTGACTACTCACTAAAGCTAAAGCCCTAAAAGTTTCTGTACAGCATTCAGGGAGCTGGACAATGTGAGAATCCCTCCTCTCTGCAATTTGGCTGGTAAGTTATTTCCCCCAGCAGTTATTTATTCCTTTATTATTATTATTATTATTATTATTATTATTATTATTATTGTTTAGGAGAGTCTGTGGAGAATCTGCCAAGTTTCTTTTCTTCCAGGCTTATGACCTTTGGTTTAACTCCTGAGTCTCATGAGCCTCTTTTTCCCTCCTAGAGGTAATGTTTTAATCCCAAGGAAACTGTAATACAAGGTGTTCTTATTCACATTTTATAGATGAGAATACTTAGGAATGGTGGTGGGATTGCTTCTAGAATCAAAACTGCATAAAGTAATCAGACACAATTTGATCTGATAAAACCTAAGAATTTCTATGGTCTTAAAAGAGTATTTTACACATTATCTTTTTAAAACATGTATTTAATCTAACTCTACTTTATCCCCAGACATTTGGCTTTGTTTCTTAAGTCCAGAAAAAGCAAGTATTACCAAAGTGGGATTTCTACCTGCAACTAAGATCAAGTTTCTACAGGTCAACTCTCTACAGCTCAACTTGGAGACTATGCCTACAAGATCTGTTTATGTTGTGGCAGGGCTAGATCCTAATTGTGCACAAGATCTAATCTGCTTTCTGAGTTTGGGATATTGCTTTGAATATATCTATTTTTCACAAGACTTCCAGGGGAGGGGCTGGGATACCAACCCAGTTATATAACCATTGACCTACAATTTGTCCTGCCTATAAGATGTGCTGGGGCAAAGGAGATGCCAAAATTGTGGGAGTGGCCAACCAATGACTGGTCTAGCTTGAGACCCGTGCCAGGAGTCAGAGTCCACCCATTGTGTGGAGGGTCATGACCTAGAGATGGATAGCCCAGAGAACTAGGATAGAGTCAATGAAATGATTTCTAATGATATTCTGCTATGCTCAGAGATAGTTGGCTAGCATAATTGTTATCAGAGAGGCTTCATCCAGCAACTGATGGAAACAGATGCAAAGACCCACAGCCAAACATTAGGCATAGCTCAGGGAATCCTGTGGAAGAGGGGGAGGTAAGATTATAGGACCCAGAGGGATCAAGGACACTAAAAAAAAAAAAAAAAAAAAAAGGCCCACAGAATCAACTAACTTGGGCTCATTGTGGTTCACAGATACTGAACAGATAACCAGGAAGCCTGCATGGGACTGACTTAAGTCTTCTGAATACATGTTACAGTTGTTTTGCTTAGTCTTCTTGTGGGACTCCTAACAGTGGGAGCAGGTTCTGTTTCTCTTTTCTCTGCTTCAAGGACTCTTTCCCTTACATTAACCTGCCTCTTCCAGCCTTAATATGAGATGACATGCCTAGTCTTACTACAACTTGATAATGCTAAGTTTGGTTGATATCCATGGGAGGACTGCCCTTTTCTGAAGAGAAACAAAGAAAAGTTGGATTGGGGGGCAGGCCGGGGGGGGGGGGGGGGGGGGAAGGGACTGGGAGGAGAGGAGGAAGGAAAGCTGTATTCTGGATGAAAACAATAATAAAAATAAAGAAAATATCCAATTTTGTGGGGATGTAGAAGTAAACCTGGTGGAGGAAAAAGTAGGATGGAGAGCTAATCCCCATAGGCTCCTGCAACTCCTCAAGGAGACCTGATCTACATACACAGTAAACTGAGATGGTCCCAGGCACATAGGTGTGTGACAATACAAACTTGACAGGGCCTTGGCTGCTCCCATAACCCCCAAAATCTCCCCTGTTGATCAGCCCTTCCCCCACAGGCTCATGGGCAGACTAGTTAGATAACTATATATAAGTTTATGTACTAAACAGTAAAATTAGATCTGCATCTTGATGTCTGTCTCCGGAGTCTGAATCCCAGAATCTGTGGGCTCCGTTGCCACTTTTCCCTCATCTCCTGGTCCCTGTTCCCACATAATTTATCTTTCTTCAGCATATCTTTCTGCTCAAAATTTTCAGCAAGAATATTTACATAATCAGAATATTAGTGTGATTACCTAAAAAGTTGAAAAATAACAGTTGTTCATAAGTTAGTTTTGGTTCATGTCAATCCAAACTAACCAAGCAGCTATAGTTGATATCCTCTAATATTGTAATTCTGACAATAGCTACTATTTAAAGTGATTTTCCTATACCACTGTAAAACACTTTGATACTAATCCTAAGACAGGTACTATTATAATATTTGTTGATCCAAGGAACCGGGAACTTAAAGAAGTTAGTAACTTGCCTGAAATTATTAGCTAGTAAGAGAGCATACTTTTAATCAGAAAAAGTTTTAGCATGAAAACAATTTCTATTTCATCTAATTAATTCATAGACATGTTTTCTGGACTAATGTTATATTCGTCATTTTTTTGTCCAAATACAAAATGAAATTTAGTAATGTTAAAGGGGATACTATTGTTATATATATCAACAGTGTAAAATAACATTTAGAAATCAGAATAGTCATTTAACATCAAGAATCTATTGCTTATATCCATTTCTATACTTGAGGGAGCAGTTATTAAACCTCAATTGAAAAATAAAATGAAGGAGCAATTGCTTCAGGTTATACCAAGTCAATCAATTTCTGGAAAATCCATGTTATATGGCATTGACACAGGGCATTTTCTTATGGTGAAAGTATTGTTAGTGGACCATCATTCTGATATTTAAATATTTGTAATGATGTTTAGGGTATCGATTCTCAAAGTTAGCTAAATAGTGACCTCCTCACTCTTGTCAGTTGCAGATTTCTATGTTTTCATGGCCATATGGCCATCTTTCATGTCCTTCCTCACACCTGATCCTGAAGCCCACACATTCCCCTCCCTATCTCCTCCCTCCATGAAATTTTTATTCCCTCTTCTAAGTGAGATTCAAGCATCCTCATTTGTGCTTTCCTTCTTGTTTAGCTTCTTTGTTTTTGTGGAATGTGGTATCTCCAGGATAAGACAAAGACCTGGGATAAGGGAGGCACCTGAGAATCAATGGGGGTGACCTTACCTGTGACCAACAACATTGGGGATATGGAACCTGAAGAAGACACCTCCTGTAGCCAGACAGGAACCCCAGTGAAGTGATAGAGATAACAACCCACCCACAAAACTTTCAACCCAAAATTTGTCTATAAGAAATGCAGGCACAGAGGTTGGAGCAGAGAATGACTGAATGGCCAACCAATAACCAGCCAAACTTGAGACCCATCCCCTGGGGAAGCACCAATCCCTAACACTATTAGTAATACTCTGTTATGTTTGCAGACAGGAGCATATTGTCCTCTGAGAGAATCCACCCAGCACCTGACTCAGACAGATATAGACACCCATAGCCAAACTGTGGATCGAACTTGGGAAATCTTATGGAAGAATAGGAGGAAGGATTGTAGGCCCCAAAGAGAATAGGAACTCCACAGGAAGACTAACAGAGTCAACTAGCCTGGACCTTTGGAGCTTTCAGAGTCTGAACCATGTGTTGGACTTAGGCCTCTTCACAGATATATAGCAGATGTGCAGCTTGGACCTCATGTGGTACTGAACAACTGGAGCGGGGACTATCCCAAAAGCTGTTGCCTGTATGTAGGATATGTTCTTCTGGTTGAGTTGCCTTGTCTGGCCTCAGTGAGAGAGGATGTGCCTAGCCTCATGGAGACTTGAAGTGCCAGGATGGAGGGAAAGGGGGATACCCAGCCCCCCACCCCCACCCACTCAGAGCAGAAGGGAAAGGGGGAAAAGGGGATAGGGGAAGGATTGTGGGAGGGGATTACCAGGAGGAGAGCAGTGAGCAGGATGTAAAGTGAATAAGTAAAATAAAATAAAAAGAATAAAAACAAACAAAAACATTAGCTTAAAGAATTTTCGGAAAGGTCAGACTTCAGATGAAGGAATCCCCATACCTTGATGTCAGCAAGTATATCATTATTGTAAGGGCCTGAAAAATGTAATTTCCTTGAAAAAAATAAATGTCTTAAGAGAGGAAATTTTGCTTTATTCATCACAGCCTCAACATTTAAGAAACAATGATTCTGTTGCTAAATAACGATTATACATCTATTTCAGTATTAGAATAGATAATGAATGTAAGGGTTCAAAACATATTTCTGAAAAAAAGACTGAAATAGTCAAGATAATATTTAGAGGAAAACAAAAATCTCACACAAACATAGTTTTGAAACACATATATAAGCCAGGAATGGTGGTACACACATGTATTCCTACCACTCAGGAGAATAAGGCAGGAGGAATATGAGTTTGAGGTTAGAATGGGGTACAAAAGGAGACTTTATCTCAAAAACGACCACCTTTTGTCCCCAATAAACCAAAGACCAAAAAAAAAAAACCAAGCTACAAGTATGTTCATATACAGTTAAATAGATCATAAGTATAAAAAGATTATACAAAAGAGTACAATATTTTTCATGATGTGATACTTATAAATAAAGAAGCAATCCTAAACAACCAGTTCTTTGGCTAATATACATATAGACACAGGCACGTTTTCTTTTTAAAAAGCACCACAATTTCATCTGAATGATACAATTCTGATAGTCTTACCAGATCATTATATTAAAAAATAATTTCTAATTAAAGTATTTGGTATCATCTTTCATTAGGCACTTAGCTAAGATCCAGTAGCTTTAGCAGCCTAGCACAGATAAAGACTGTTTTATCATCTCCTTTTATATGTCCTTCTAAGGGAAACACTAATATCAACAGACTTCCTTTTAAGTAGAAATATTCTCATATATGGCTTCATTTGTTGAAATTTTAAGTCAGTAACGCAGACTGTGAAGCTTGGAGTTTCTTAAATTCAGCATCGTTTGCTTGATTGTAGGTTTATCATCAAAAAGTGCTGCTTCACTCTCAGTGGTTGGAAATCTTTTCTGGTATATCAAGGGGTATTCCTTCTGAAACTTAAAAAGGAGGGGAAGAATTAGCAATTCTGGCCAGGTGTGGTGGCACACGCCTTTAATCCCAGAACTAGGGAGGCAGAGGCAGGCTGATCTTTGAGAGTTCAAGGCCAGACTGGTCTACAAAACAAAGTTTCAGGACAGTTAGGGTTGTTACACAGAGAAAAATGTCTCAAAAAAAAAAAAAAAGCTTCCAAATATTTTCTTATATAAAGCTCATCAAGTATTCTTTCATCTGACTCTTATTTCTCTCTACATTTGTGAAAAGATCTTGCAGACCTCTGTCAATGTTAAAATACTAGGATTCTCTTCTGTTAAGTTTTACCCTAAACCCAATGTTTCTCACTGGTGAAACCTATGAAGGTCACGGATTTGGTACAGTTTGTATTTTGCTTTTGAGGTTCTCAGGTTGTGTTCCTTCTAGAATGATGTGACTATTGGATTTTGGTTTAGAGTTGAAAGTTCTAAACAGTGGCAGGGATGAGTCACTCAGGGATAGGTATTATAATCCAGATTTTACGTATGCTTTTTCAGGATAATTCAAAATATAATTATACAAAATACCAGTAATATAAAAGAGGATCATTTAATATTGTTGTAATTATTTTTAATTTAAAACAGTCAACCAAATAGATATTCATTCATATACTTTAACTATATAATGAAGAACAGTAAGTAATCTATGTATCTAAAAGTTAAAATTTTATCAAAATGTCATTTGAAACAGCAATCACTGATCACACACTGGAAAATATTTGTAAGATAGAGAAGTTATACATTCTTGCACCTGTTTCAATTTTCTTCTTTTCTCCTTTACAGGCAAGCTTTTACTTCTAACAATATTCTCCAAAAGTTCTGCAATTGCAGCTTGGGAAGTTGAAATTTTCTGTTCATCAAATTCTTTAGCACTAATTTGCTTACAGTAAGAATATGTTGGCAAAGGAACAACTAGTCCATCTCCATGATTTTTAACCTGTCAGTGAACAAAACAAGACAGTGAAAATGTGTACATTCTGGTCATATTTTTCTCATATGGAACACTTTTGGTGTAATCTATAATCTATCATTTGGCCTCAATCACACAGTCAGTGTATTCAGAAAACAGAAGAGTATACACTAGAGGTAGGGAGCAGGATATAAACCTATTTTATAGCCCTGAGTTAACTTTTCCTGATCAGCTTCCTAATCATTAAAATGAAGATTTCATGTATATAAAAGCATTAAAGATAGGTATTCTAATTTTTAACCATAGATTTTATTATCTGAAGTATAAAATATAACAATCTAAATGATGTTTTTAATTCAGTTTAAAACACCAGTATTTTCACTTAGTAATTAAGTATTGATCAATTGTTTTTGAGAACCAAAATACTATCAGAGCCTACATATCTATTGATAATGAAGTTTAAGATACATATTTATAGTAAGCCAGTACACTATTATGATAGTATACATGAGAAAAAGCACCAGCAAAATGTGCTAGCTAGCCAACTCCTGAATATGGTAGATACCCTGTTTAGTGTTTGTTTCTCCCTTTTCTAACATTTTTTTCTATTCTTATTCTAACCTTCTTTTTTACTTTTAGAACGAATTCGGCTTTAACTATATAGAATGTATCAGAATAAGACTCTTTTTAACCTACTTACTCTTAGATTTTCAAAGGATGGACATTTAACTTAGCATGAGATAATCAAGAGTTCATACATAGGAACTGGGGAGTTGACTCAGTGGGTAAAGTGTTTCCTAAGCAGGTATGAGGACTTGAGTTTAGAGTCCCAGCGCCAACATAAAAACTGGTCACAGTGATATACTCCTCTTACACAGAGCTGAGAGTATGTGTATATATATGTGTATGTGTGTGTGTATATATATACACACACACACACACATAAAAATTGGACGTAGATGTATTTATTTTCTTTTTACTTTAGATTTGAAACCCAATGTTGTATGCAGAAACTTTAATAATCACATTTCTCATAATGTAAAGGAAACATTTGTCAACATGGAACTGCAAGAGAAGAAAGGCCAAGAAAAGTCCCAGTGCTGTATGAGTCTCCAGGCTCTATATATTCTGACTTAGAGAATCTTATATGAGCTAATAAGTGTCCACTTTTAATGGAGTTATTTTCAGATGAATTTGCTAGTTGCTAATAAGTAATACAGAGATTTTAAAGGCTCAAAATACCTACATGGCCCTTTTTAATGTAGTCAAGATGTTTCTCCACTGCAGCCTGTAAATAAGTGGGTACTTGAAGAATTTCCTGATGATGATCCATTAGGAAAGAAACTAATCTTGAAGCCAGAAGTTCATCAAGATCCACTTCTTCAGCACAACACAGGACACATCGAGAAAAAGTATTTATCATCTACAAAAAGATGCTCAATTTAAGAACCCAAGTTTTCATATAAATGACAGTGCCAATAATTTCCAATTTTCATTACATGATATATAGGGATAAAATGATAAGCAGCTTTCAGTTTAGGACACATGGAAATAATTTATTATAGTTAGGAAAATAATGATTTTATTATATACAAACAATAAAAACATTTGTTATGTATTGTGTTAGCAAAGTTCTAATGGATCACGTATAACAGGGTATTATTTCAGTTTATCATAATTTTGTAAATATATACCACAGCTTCCATCAATATAGAGATGCAAGTCTTAAGCCAAAAATAGTTAGAGAATAAGACCTTATTACATTAAACCAATTCCACAAAACCACAAACCAGGACTATATAATATATGGAACACATGCTCAGCAGAAGTTGCAAAGTTGACACTATTTATCTTTTGAAACTCTGGAAAATGGTTGTTAATGATAATTGGTGTTTAGACAGTGAGGTAATGAATACATCTCTATTTCCATCATAAGGATTTTGAAACTCTGGAAAAATTTTTGCCTCAAAACTCATTACTCTCATAGCCATATAATCTATATCTACAATGCATAGTAATTAGAATATTTAGGTTCTATTTTAAATACGTGCACATAATAATACACATAGCATAAATACTGACATGAAACGTTCCCTTTTCATTCCAAGGCTCAGTCGTCAACCTTTTGTTTTTTGTCTATATTCTTTTTCTCTTCATAGAAACCTTTTTATACTTGTAACTATCATCTCAATAAGGATGACTAAAAAAATCCATCTTCTGCTTCGATTTTCATTCACATTTCCAACATCCTGTTGGATAAATTTTACTTAGATGCCTTAACAACTTTAAAACCAAAAAGTAGAAAACTAAAATTATCACCTTCTCAAACACCAACTCGTACTAAATTCTTATGCTTTTCAATACTATGAATATTCATGAATATTTTTCTTTTTTATCTATTCTGTCATTGTTAATGAATTAGCCACAGTGATGAGCAGAATAGCTAAGCAGAGTACCCAGGCTTATTATGAGAACATTTTATAGATTTAAGCTGGATTCTAAAAAGTGACAATTCTTAAGAAAAACAATGAGTGAGACAGCGAGAGAGAGAGAGAGAAAGAGAGGGAGGGAGGGAAGGAGAGAGGGAGGGAAGGAGAGAGGGAAGGAGAGAGAGAGAGAGAGAGAGAGAGAGAGAGAGAGAGAGAGAGGGAGAAAATTTCAAAGATTCATTTCCCATCAATATCTGCATATAAATCCCTCTATCCTCATTCTCCAAGCAGTCTGAAAGTCTGAATGTCTGAATCTGGAACTGCTTGGTAACAGTTCTTTTTTGTTTGTTTGTTTGTTTGTTTTGTTTTCCACTACTTCTTGTCCACAATGACTTATTGCCATAACTCATCAGATACAACTTCTCCACTGCCATATTCTCTGAAACATTATGACAGATTATTCACTTATTATTTCCTTACTCTCTACCTCATGGTTGTAGTGCTCTTAGGTTTTAACAGTACCTACAAATCCTCTTCCCTCCCAATCAGACAGAACTAATACAAGGTGATATATTGTAGTCTGACTGACTAGATAAATCACTGTGAGGTGTACAAAATGAGCAAGAATGCAAGGTCTTCTGCTAAGATTAATAAAAGGTGAAAGTATAAGTGCCTAAGTACAAACAATGTATTTACCACTATTTTCTGCTAGAAAAGGTCAAGTTTCTAGGTTCTGCTTTTCTTATGTTTTAAAATTCAACTAAATTTTTGATACAAATATTTGGCATAAAATGAAACAACAATGAACTGATAAATCATATAAAACAAATAAAAATGTGACCTTGGTAGAGTAGCTTACCACTATGAAATTATTAAACTCTACTTTGTGCTTTGAGTACATGGCTTTGCTTTATTTTTTTAAATGATTTTTATAATATTTTATATTTTATTATTATAGAACTTTCTAACTTAAGCATTATAAGATAGAAATATCACTTAAGAAGCACTTTCAAGCAGCTTGGTTTTCTTTTAGTTTTATGGCTTATTTTTTCCATGATAAGAAATACCACTAGACAGATGTGTGCATACACACACACACACACACACACACACACACACACAGAGAGAGAGAGAGAGAGAGAGAGAGAGAGAGAGAGAGAGGCACACACACACACAGATTCAGGGAACAATACAGAAGTTGCAGAGATCAGGGAGAAATTGAATAAAACAGGGTATTCTGGATATGACAGGACTAATGAACTCATGAACTCACAAAAACGGTTGCCTGCACAAGAGCAAACCAATCAACATTCCAGTATGGAAGTGGAGGGATTTATAAACTGCATCCACAGCTAAGGAGGTACTGACAGCTGTTGCTTATTAGGGGAGGGAAAGTCAGTTTACTTTAGGGGTGTGGTCCCAGCTAGATCAATGATTCTCCAGTGATGGCCCTATCACCATGTACATATGGGCAACATTAACTGAGCTTAATGATTTATTTTATAATGAGGATATGAAGTTGGGAGAGGTAGGAAGGGGTGAATATGGTCAAAATACATTGTGTACATTAATGAAATTCTTGAGAAATTAATAAAAATTATACTTAAAAATTCAACTTACCAATGATCTTGTACCTATTTCTTCATGAAGTTTAGGCATATCAACATTTTGACTCATTCGAGAAATCATGCGCATTAAGAGTTGAAGCTTTCTACGATTTGGTGGGGGAAGTAACAAACAACATAACTGTAGAGCATGGATGGCAACCCTCTCTAAATGAGGTTGCAGCAAACCTAGAAGGCAAAGTCACCCCCACCAGGAAAATATCATCAATGACAATAGGTTTCAAATGAATAGAATACAGTTACATAACAAGGGCAATATAATAGTATTCTTTTTTTCAATTATGGTTACAAATTTCTACATTCTGTTAAAATATAGCAAGATAATAACTGTTGTTTTGCAACTTATTTCTAAGTATTAAAATCCTTCACTTATAAAATAAAATGACACAGATTAAGTGAAATTAAAGGAAAAGAAATTAAGTGCTTTAAGTAGTATAGAATAAATGTTGGTTATGCCATGATCAAAGTATTTTACAATAATTTCTTCTCAAGGAAAGGACAAAGCAATTTCAGAGAAGAGAAGCCAGGAATACAAAGCTGTATTAGTAAACATTAAAAGTTAACATTGCATGCACCAAAAACAGCCTTACTTTGTGTGCCAGTCAACACAGAAGCAGGTGGAGGCAAAGAATTCTCTGAAAGTTCTACGGTACTTTTGCACAGTCTTTTATTGATTGTGGTACTAGACCCTCCGAGCTCACTTTGTACACTTGTACTGCCTTGTCCAACATTTGGTTTCATTATAATTTCAGCCACTGGTTTATTGATATAACAATTCTGTCTTGTACTACTTCTTAAAAGTAAACTCTGAGATCTACAAAGCTGTTTTGGCTTGTACTTTCCATTACATAACTCTTCTTGGTCTTGAACAGTTAAAGCAGAGGTTCTTTTAAAACCAACACAGTGGAGCTGCTGAACATTTTCCTCTGAGTGAAGATTAAATAGGGATTTCTGTTTGGGTGCAGACACTAATGATTGTTTACTATTTTGTTCTTCTGTGTTCAGAACAGATTGGTATAAGATACTGGACTTCTTTTCACTTGAATTCACTGGCATATCTATAATTCCTTCCAAAGAAGAGCACCTTGGTTTGATGTTAGAGGACAAGGCATTTGTATTACTTAAGCCTATTAAATTATGACAGCTTCCTCCCATTATGTCATTAGTGCTAGCTCCTCTGTTTCTTAAATTAACTAGCTGCAATTTCTTGGCACATCCTTCTTGAGATCCTTGATCACTTCTTTGTAGTCTCTTAGTAGAATCCAATTCTTCATTGCTTTTGTCTTTGTAAAGCAGACTGAGAAGAAGACACTCAGTTGATTTGAAGGAATTCAAATTGCTCAAATCATGGATTTTTGAAGACCGTGGATCATCTTGGATTTTATGTATTCCACTTGTTCTATCTGAAACTGTGATGTAGCCACAAACAACTACCAGAAAATGAAACAAAAATTAAGATGCAACTGCAAGACAGTGGGCAAAAATAAAACAGAACCAAAGTAAAGTTAAAAAAATAAGATATCACTATAATATACACTGTTAGTAGAGAACACACATAGATAGCAGTTGCTTAATTTGGAAGCCACTTCAATAGGACACATGCAACATTCAGTTATAAACATGCAAGACTGACTAGTGGTATTTCCATTTGTAATATAAATCATTTAAAAAATTAATTTAGCAACAAAATTAGGAGGGTCAAATCAGAACACACTTAAAAATATTGGTTTTAATTTTACAAATTCTTGAAAGCCTTTAATTATATGACAACTATATATATATACAGCAGCACACATCTTAGTGTTTATAGGAAGACTGGTTCCAGGGATGCCCATGGTCAAAATCTGCAAATTTATGTCTCTTGTCTAAAATGGTGTACCATGTACATACATATAACCTAATCATTTATTTTAAATACTCTCTAGATTATTCATAACAACACAAGGTAATATATTTATTGCTTAGAGAATAATGACACAAAACACAACAACAAAAAAACACCCTGTAGTTCTATGTAGTAGCTACATTAAAAAAATAAACATTTTTTGATTATGGATTGGTTGAATCCAGAGGCAAAAATAGCGCATGAAAACCAGTGACAACTGTACCTATACTTGGTCTCTGTTCTTGGTTACTAGCATAGAACTACTAAAATTCTTGAATTTCCAAGTGATCAGTCTTGTTATTCAAGAAGAGTTATTGCAACATACATGAGTTTATGCTAATGTAACACATAGCTAGTCACATATCTGTGTTGTCTACAACCTCTTGGGAAGAGAAACAACAACAACAACAATTTAATCACCTACAAAATCATACTTAGCTAATAACATCCACTTAAAATTCTGAAACAATAGCCAGGCAGTGGTGGTGCACACCTTTAATCCCAGCACTTGGGAGGCAGAGGCAGGTGGATTTCTGAGTTCCAGGACAGCCAGGGCTATACAGAGAAACCCTGTCTCAAAACAAAACAAAACACCAAAAAACGAAACAAAACTGAGCATAAGTGTAGGGAGCAAAGGGAGCTTATTTGTTGCCAGCATCAGAAGTAAGGGTAGGTTGTGGATCTGAGCCTTTCTCTTGTAGGATTAGGGCTAACTAAAGGGAGCTGTGTGTCAGAAATACATAGAATTATATGATAGTTGATTTCAGGGCAAGTGATGTTAAAGTGAATTTGAATCATTTGATCTAGTATAACCATTGTATTATTAAAATCTGAAATAATTTATATCCTACCACATTCATATTTACCATGTTTTTAGACTTTTAACTTTATAAAGAAACTTAAAGACTTTAATAGAATAAATTTAAATGTTAAGTAAAATTCACACATACCCAAAATGTTCACAAATAATTCATAGTATTCAAATGTAAGTAGAGGTTCAGGGAGATCTAGAAAATAATCTGCAATTGTTTTGAATACATCACGTTCAAATCCAACATAAGTTAGATTATTGGTGTCATTACTTCTTGGCCCTAAGAAGCAGAAGGCAAAAGAAATGGGTAAAATAAATTTCAATTTAAATACAATTAAAAGTATGCATAAGTTTAAATTTATATTTCATGAAGAAGCCATGATTAACAACAATTCATGTTACAACATATGTAATTCATCAATTCATTTCTCTCTTGATCTCTTTTTAAAGATTTATTTTATGTGTATGAGTATTGTGCCTGCATGCATATATATGTGCATCACATGCATACCTGGTGCCATAGATCGCTTAAATTGGAATTACAGACAGCTGTCAGCTACCATGTGGTGTTAAGAAGTGAACCTGGCTCTTAACCTCCAAGCCATCTCTCCGGCTCCATTTCTCATTTTTTCACTGGAAGTCACTGTGAGCAGCTTCTGGCTAGTATTTTGTTTTAATATTATTTTAATATATGAAAAACTGTACATAAAGCAATATGTATGGTAAAGTATGGCATATTTAAAAAGCATCAATTATTTTAATGAGGCTTTGTTGTAATTTATTTTGTGAAGACAAGAATACTTGAATAATAACAAATACTTCTAAATCATCCTTTGTATGTCAATACTTTTATGAATAAATTTTAATGCATTAGTTAGTAGAAAAAGCAGTTACATCATGAGCATATCAAGAAGGCTAAATGGAATTGCTTGCATACAAATTAACTACCATTAGATATTGGTCCAAGCTTTTATTATGTTCAATTTTTTTTAATTAAATTTTATTTTTTTACTTAAGTACTTCTTTAACATTTTAAAATGATTTTATTACTTTGCCATTGTTAAGTTTTAGACTTAATACTACTATTGAAATAACCATGATTATTAGTTAATCACTGTTGACCTATTAAAAACAAAAACTTCTATACACAGGTTAGAACCCATCACGGGAAAGTTAGGAACTTGCACCCTTAGAATTACTTGCCCTGCACTCAATAATTTAGTGGTCTCTAAACTTTCACTTGGGACTCTTCCTTATAGAAATCTTCAAGGACATGGTTTATTAAAAGAAAAAGATTCAACCAAATGGGAGTCTTGGGGACATTTCTTAAGTGAATAAAACACGCATTCAGATTTTACAGCCATTATTATCAAATATCCTTTTTCCTGAAACAAAGTTTTTTTTATTTTATGTCTCCAAAATCTTTGTATGGCTTTACATGTGTAGGCATACACACTGCAAAATGATTAAAGAAAAAGCAAATCACATACATACATACATACATACATACATACATACATACATACTAGTTTAAAAGCTAATATTTATTTTTATAGAGACCAAGCTTGGTATTTCTCTAAAGCAGACATAAGAAATATTCTTTGTGGAGAGAATATCTGCCTGTATGGAACCCTGTCAATAAAGACCTGATGGCCTATAACTTAATCAGGAAATAGGAGGTGAGACATCTGGGAGGTAGAAAGGATTCTGGGATGGTGCCAGGTGGGAGATTTACCTGGAAAGATGTGACGAGACAGACACAGGGTACCTGAGCACAAGCAACCATTCATAGGGCAGAATGTAGATCAGAATAAATGAATTCTATGAAGTTATGATCTAGTTAGAGAAGAGCCTAGCTATATGGTCAAGGTATTTGTAAATATATTTTGAGTCAGTCTTATATCTGGGGGCATAGGGCTGGGAGAAACTAGACCTAAGTTCTACATTTTTTGCTTGTTTGTTTGTTTGTTTTGTTCTCTTTGAGACAGGGTTTTATTTTGTAGCTATGGCTATCCTGCAACTCACTGTGTAGATCAGGCCGGCCTCAATCCACCTTTAATATATAGAATAGAAGTAATCATTAGTAAGTTTTCTAAAATAGAAAACACAGGTTCACTAGAAACAAAACCAAAGAATTTATAGTTAGATAATTTAGGTTTGAGTTCTAGGTCCACTACATTAACAGAAGGTTCTGAGAATTTTGATTTTTCAACTCTGGGGAAAAAGTTGTGGATAGTATTCTTAAGACTATTTCCCAATATTATCCTTCCCATAGACCAGTGGTTCTTAACCTTACTAATGTTATAACCCTTTAATATCTCATGTTGTTGTGACCTCCTACTATATTTTAGTTCCTACTTCATGACTGTAATTTGCTGTTATAAATTGTTATGTAAATAGTTTTGGAGATAGAGATTACATCCCACAGTTGAGAACCATTACTATAGACTCTAGTAAAACACATTGTTATTAACTGAAATCCAGTAAGTTATATAATTATTATTTAACTATAAAATGAATTGGAAAGAAAGAGAAAATACAAATCCCTAAAGATGGACAGATAAATTTCTGTGAGTATGCTTATCTGTGTTGTCAACCATGAGTCATAGGAGAACAAGACAGTTGGGCAGGGACTACAGAAAAAAAGATATTCAGAAGTCTATGCTTAAACCATGGCTCTTCATCTTAATTTCATGAATAAAATGTTTCTGCAACTTATTACATAATGGCTATTTAGTTTGCTATTCTGCCATTTTGATATACAGTAAGGAATATGATCTTCAATATTAATATGATCTTCAATATTTAATCCCATTAAAATTTCAACAATACTAATTTTATAATAATTGGAAAATGACACCTAACACTAAATTTTTTAAAATACATTTTAACTTTTGATAACTTAAAAGCATGTATCTTTGTGAATTTTAAAAATTTATTTTGAAAGCATAAGAGATTTATACTTGAACCAGAGGCTTACATTATAAAAATCAAGTATCACTGATTACTATGAAAATGGTTTGTTGAGGTTTGGTCTTTTGCTATGTATTGTAAGGCTAAATACTAGCCCCCCAAGGCCTGGTTGTCCCCAGGGATGAGAGAATCTGTATGTACACAATGTAATGCTATGTGAATAAAGATGCTTACAGCCTATAGTCAAGGTTTGGATTCCCAGACTGAGGGTAGGAGGAGACCACCAGGAGGAGGAAGAGAGAGTAGAAGGTGGAGAGTGGAGTGATGTCATGTTATATGTGAGCTATGAAAACATGGCCATGAGGCTGACCAATTAAAGTTAAGAGAAGCCCAGATGGAACATAGCAAGTAATAAGTCGGGGTTATTGATCTAGAAGTGGACATAATAATAGTACAGTGGGTAGATATCAGCCCAGCTTTAGTTCTGATAAAGGCTTACAATAAATATAATAATTGTGTCTTTTATCTGGAAATTGAATGATTTAAGGTGTGGTAGAAATCCTGATTTGAGAGTAAATACTACAACAAAGGCTGAGCAATAAAATGCTAAAACCTGGTTTATAGATTATTCACATAACTTTTTCTATTAATACATTCTATGAAGTAATCTATCATGAAAAGGATGAACATGGGATGTATGCAACTTTATTTCTGATTTAATCTCTTTTACAAATATGCTATTTTACTTCTAAAGTGATACCTTTAAGTCTTTGGTCCTCATTGTGGCAATTACTGCAGTTTAGATTTTTACCTAAGAGTCTTTAAAATCCTATGAGCCTATGAGTTTATGATTTATTTAAACCAAACCATAAATAACAAATTCTAATCACAAAATAACTTTTTGCATAGAAAATAAAGAGCTTATAATAAATTTCACTTGACTATCACTTGACTCACAATTTTAAATATTTTCTTTAATTTTATTAAATACTATAAATAGAACACACAGACAGACAAATGGACAGACAGATACACACACACACACACACACACACACACACACACACACACACACACTTGTGGTTTGGTTTAACTTACAATTTGCTAGGCACTTCATAGCAGATAATACCCAGTGTGGAAGATCCTCTAGATAAAAAAAAATGTGAAAAATGTATATTAAGCCATACCATTTTTATGATAGTGTATTTTATTTTTTGTTTTATGATAGTGTATTTTATTTTTAGACTTTATACTTCACTTAGCATCAAGGGCTCTTACCAGCTTAGCTATCTATTGGCCCAGGAAAGATCAATATTTTAAAATATAAAAAGTAAAAATGTATAAAGATCTTGAGTTTGAGTCTATCTATAATACTTAAAAAAAAGTAGCTATCTAAAATCAAGAATTAATTATCTAGGAAGGGGTTGTTGAGATATAAACTAAATCTCCTCTTCATCTACTCTACTACTTCTCTTTAGCTCCACGTTAGTTCTATTGCTATCTTACATGAGCATTACTGATTTAGGTGAAGCTTATAACTGAAATTAACTACGTCTGAATATCAGGGTACTCTTACATTGAGGCCTGCGTCAAACATTTAAGTTGGCACCATATCCAGCTTGTTCATCACTAAATCTTTAGCAAAATACCTAGCACACTGTAGGCCCTTAACACAAGTGTTGTTAATAATAGTTTTTATTGTCTACATTTTGGATGCTTATCACTGTCATATTTTTAATGCCATATATTCATTTTAGCAACTAAATAATTTGTGATAGCATAAATAATATTTACTTCCAAAAATTCCATCATGATTGCTAAATGAACGTGCCCTCGGAAAGTGTTCTACTTTCTATATCTAGATCTGTACACTAACCTATAAAAGCACCTTTGGTTACTAGGTTTCAAAAGATTCCAATTATTTTCTAAACACCTACCTGATTTGTCTTGTAGTATGACCACTCCATGCTTACTTGTGTTGGCCATGTTGTACATTATATATTGAGGAATTATTTGGTTTGGGTTTATGAGTTCTTCTATGGACGGCACACCTAAAATGGTTTGCAGGCTGAAAAGAGTATAAACAATTTTTTTCTTTATAAAATAAGAGGAATAGAACATGACTTGCAACAAACACAAATCCATGAGTACTTTATTTTTCTCAAAACAATTCAAGGATTATATTTACTATCTACTTTTATATATATACTTACTCAACAAAATTCAGAGGAATCCAATAAAAATCTCAAACTACAGTGATGACTTAAAAGGTACAATTTCTTTCTTCATATTGTACTAGATTTGTACCAAAAGCAATTACTAAAAACCATACATGCATATTTAAATTCTAAGCTTTGAAAAGTATGTTTTTATTCATTTGTATATTTGGACAAAAATAAAATTAATAATCCATATTCTTCAGAATCCTAAATATTGCTTATTTTTGTCTTACTAGATCAAAATAATGTATCTCCAAACTTCTTCAACATCTTCCTGGCTTATTTCTTGGTTGTCAGGTGCATTTTCTTGATCTTCATTGGTTATTCTTTCATGATGTATCTTTTCTGTATTTTCCTGAAGGGGGAAAAAATGCTTTGGTTTGTTACAGTCTATACTCAAACTAAAGGAATGTTGAACACTTTTAACACAGATTTGTTTGTTTGGTGTGTGTGTGTGTGTGTGTGTGTAGCACTGAAGTTGACATTGGGTGTCTTTCTTAATGGATATCCAGTTTCTTTATTGAGGCAGTGTTTTTCATACTTAATAACTGTATAAGTCAAAGTCTACTGTGGCGTTACAAAGTGTCTGAAAAGTAAAGGAACACATAGTTTTCAGTTTTGCAGCTTTCCTAACACATACAAATCAACTTCATGTCTAGGTACTTTACAGTTTGGTTTTTAGAAAAGACTAATGACAGAGATGAGTTGAAGAGTCATAAAATTCTAGGGCTATTGTTCAGCTCATAATTGAAACCTTAATGTCCAACCTGATCCTACTAGGTTGTGGAACCTTTAAGAGGCAAGGCCTCATGGAAAGAAATTGTATCACAGGCAGCAGGTTGTTGGGGGGAGCTGTTGGTACCCATCCAGGACCCTTTTCCTTCTTTCACCTTCCCGTTTTCATTAAGAAGTTTACTTCTTTGCATGCTCCTATTATGACTGCAGTGCCTTGCTAAAAGACACCAATAGTAATAGAGACTAGAGACTAAATTTTTGGAATCTGAGGTTGGACTTGCCTACTTTGAAAGTGACTTTCAAGTATTTTATCACAGTGGTAGAAATCTGATTAACACAAATAGGAAGAATAACAAATGACACGATATTATATTACAAAAATCCTTTTCAAGAATGCCTTATTACTGTATTCAACACTGTTTCTGCAGGTTCCAAGCTCATTAGCACATCTTTTTTTTTCTGAGATTGTAATTTAGGAGATTTACTATTAACCACATGGTAATACTATTTGAACTGTTGGTTAATAAAAAAAATTTTTACCTGAGAGAAATGTAATCCACGCTTCTTAGGAGTTTTACGAGATAAGTTTCGTAATTTAAAAATACTATCTTTGTTTTTGGAAAAGTACTCTGTGTTGGTTTTCTTGATTTCTGTATGTCTTTGTGGAAAAGTTTTAAGTGGAGAAGTTGCAGGAAATCTAGTATAAAAATAATATAGAGTTAAATAGGATGTGATAAAATAATTAACTTCTAGAGTATATTTTAAAAGTCATATAAAAAGTCTAATTTACCTTCATTATCAAGTAATAAAAATTCTAAATTAAATCAATATTACCATTAAACTTTTAAAGTATTTTAGTTTCTTTTTTCTTTTGTGTACTGTACACATTTCACTTTTACTTATATTCAGTTCAGGGTTAAAATCAGGACCAGTTCAGTTGAAGAAATAATGCTTACATAGAAATAGCTCTAGAAAACGGTTGTGTAACTCTCTTTGAAAAAAAAAAAAACAACAAAAACAAAGCTGGGTAGTGTTGGTGTCCAACTTTAATTACCGCACTCAGGAAACAGAGTTAGGTTGAGTTCTGTGAGTTCGAGGCCAGCCTGGTCTACAGGTGATTTTCAGGACAGGCAGAGTTATACAGAGAAGTTCTGTCTCAAAAAACCAAAACCAAAATAAAAAAACAACCAAACAAACAAACAAACAAATAAAAAAAAAAAACTCAACCTCCCTACCCCCATAGTTTGCATATACTTCCAGTCTTTTGACAGTTTGTTCTAATTTTAGGATTTAGTCTCTTGCTTCTTTTGACTATGGTGCATTTTATTTTTCATCTTAATATGGGACATTTCAAAAATACAATCAAGAACAGAAAATAAACCATCAACCAGTATAATTGTTGATATTTTACTAAATAGTTGTCATTTTTCTAGGTACAAGAAAATCTTCTCCTATTTAAAAATCTTACCTCTGTCCTAAGGAGAATCACAAACTTATCATGGTTTTTATGTGTTTAGGCTTTCAGTAAATATATTTAAATAGTTTAGTCTTGTGTATTGTTCTTTTTGGTACCTTTCATCATATATTAAATTTATACTTAATGTTTTATGGCATTAAAAACTGTCTTTGCTACAACATAATTTTAAAATTATCTCATAAAAGTTTTGTTTTTCATACTGAGGTATTTAAAACAGGTATGTTTTGTTTTAAAAAATATGTAATCTTTAATTATGTGTTTACATGTAGGTATATACATGTAACTATAGGTGCCTTCAGAGTCCAGAGGCATCAGATTCACCTACATCATCTTATTCCAAGTTGTTATAATAATTATATTATTTAAAGGTAAGGACTTGTGACTTTGTTTTGCAATTAGAAAATTTATAAAATATAATAATATCATTGAAATGTGATAAAACTTTATAACATACAAAAACACAAGTATCTGTTATCCTTCCAACTTCCTATTTTATTATATACTATTTAACACTCAAAAACGTTGAACTTTGTAGCTCACAACTTTCAACCATATAGTTTTCTACATAGTTTTAATTGACTTAAGTTCAGCAATACTAGGCAGTCTCTAGACCTTCCACTCACCCTCCTCTTTTCCAAATCGAATCCCCCAGTCTCATCTCAGACTCTGTACCAGACCACCTATTGCTATCTTCCTCTCTGCCCTTCTCTAGTAGACCATGAAAATCTTCAACATCTGTCCTCACCACCTCATCCACTTGTCTCACCTCCAACTTCCATAGGTACTCCCTGGGAAGCACATAAGCTAGGAAAGCATTGCAGGCAATCATCAGATCTTCACTCCCCTTCCTTCCTTACAAACCAACCCCCCCTCCTCCACTCTCCAACTCTGTAGCAGACCACCTGTTGTGGCCTCTCTTCTCCCATTCCCAGAGGACAAAGAAGATATTGGGTTATATCCTGCTTTCATCCCTCCTGTGGTTCCTCTCAGCATCCTCTATTTCTTGCACATCTCCATCTGTAACTGTCAGCTACCAATACCAAGAACACATTCTAACCAGAACCCTCGCTGGCCACATCTGGCAAGATCTTAGAAGTGTTCCCTATCAGGCAATTTACAGACACCACACACTCCCAAGAAACAGGGCAACAGAAAACAAGGAAATAGAACACCCATACAACAAAGACAAGACCAGATATCAGCACCTAAAATTATAATCTTCCCAAACCCAGATGCCTAAACTCGCCATAAAAACACAATCAGTAACAGATAGGACAATATGTCTCTACTAAAGCCCAGCAACCATAGAATGGTAGGTCCTGAGAAATGCAATATAGCTAAAGTACTATAAAGGGACTTCAAAATAGCCTTTATGGATATATAAACGTCCTTAAAGAGGAAATGAATATCCCTTAAAAATAAAACAACAACAACAAGCAAACAAACAAAAAACACAAACAGTAGAATGAAATGAAGAAAAGAGTTCAAGATTTGCAAGTGGAGAAGGAATCAATAAAGAAAATCTAAACTGAGAGAAAACTAGAAATAAAAAATTTAGGCACTTGAATGGGGAACTCATAGGTAGGTCTCACCATCAGAATACAATGGATGAAAGAGAGAATCTCAGGTGTCGAAGGCAAGATAGAGGAAATGAATACCTTGGTCAAATGTTAAATCTAAAAAAAATCTAGGCACAAAATATCTAGAAAATGTGGGACACTGAAAATATCAAGTGAAAGAATAACAAGAACACAGGAAGGGAAAGAAACCCAAGTCAAAAGCACAGAAAATATTTTAAAAAAATCATAGAAGAAAATTTTCCCACCTAAGGAATGAGGTGCCTATCAAGGTACAAGGATATAGAACAGCAAATAAGACTGGATAGGCGAAATTCTCAGTGTCACATAGTAATCAAAACACTAAATATATAGAAGAAAGAAAGAATATTGAGAGCTGCAAGGGAAAAATACCAAATATACATAAAGGCAGACTTTTAGAATAACATCTGACTTTTCAATGGAGACTCTAAAAGCCAGCAGGATCTGAAGAGATGTTCTACAAACTCTAGGAGACCTTAATCTAGCTCAGACTATTAGACCATGAAAATCTTTGTATCACAATAGATGGAGAAGAAAATGACATTCCATGAAAAAAAAAAAAACAACCAAATTTAAACAGTCTCTATTTACAAATCCAGTGTTAAAGAAAGTGCTAGGACAACTTCAACCTGAAGAATCTTATCACATTCAAGAAAACAAAAAGAATAAATTAGACCATCAAATGAATAAAAGGAGAGGACCCAAATTACAACAACAAAATAGGGAGGAATCAACAAATACTGTTCATTTCTAACACAACACCAACAGACTCAATTCTTCAAAAACCAAACAGAATGGACTGAAAAACAGGATCCATCCTTCTGCTGCATGCATCAAACACACCTTAACATCAAAGACAGAAAAAGATGTTCCTAGAAAGCTGGTGTAGCTATTTTAATATCTAACAAAATAGACTTCAAACCAAAACCAAAAGATCAGATTCCTATCTCAGAAGAAGAACATCAAAGAAAAAGTCCACCAAGAAAATATTACAATTGTTAACAATTATACATCAAACACAAGAGAACCCAAGTTCATAAAAGAAACATTACCACAGCTTAAATTACATATTGAGCCTCACACAGTGATATAGGGTTACTTTAATATGCCACTCTCAACAAACCAACCGACAGCTCATGCAGACAAAACTGAAAAGAGAAATGCTAGCACTATGTGACATCATAAGCCAATTAGATCTAACATATATTTATGAAACATTTTATGCATACAAAAAAGAATAACTCGTGACTTTCTTCAAAACTAACCACATACTCAACCATAAGGGCATACTTTAACTACCTGTACACCACTAAATTAGAAAATCTAAAAGAAATGTATAATTTTCTTTATATATATTCCACTTATAAAGTTAAATCAAAATCAGATAAGCAATTTAAACAGACCTATTGTTTGCAACCAGTCATCTCCAATGCCTGTCCGAAGGACCTAGTGACAACAAGATACATTATCACTAGCTGCTAAGGTGGGACACATTTCCACTGTCATCATGAGTCCTGGATACTCCCTATGGGCAAGCACTGTATTCCCTTACAAAAAGCCAACACCTCCCCTCCCTATTCTCATTTTTCCCTTTATCCTCACTCAGAGGCAGCATCTGTATGTCCCCTCCCCAACAAACCTCTCAGGTAAAATCTGTCACATAGTATGACTTTATAGTGTACACTGCTTAGATCACAACACCTATAATCCCTAGTGAAATGGAAGCAGTAATTAAAATTTCCAAACCAAAAGAAACCCAGGGCCATAAGGGTTTTAGTGAAGAATTATACCAGACTTCCAAAGTAGGCTTAACATCAATATTCCTTGAATTATTCTGCTAAATAGAAACATAAGGGACATTGTTCAACTCTTTTTATGAGGCCAGTTTCTGACACCTAAATCACATAAAGACTCAACAAACAAAGAATTAAGGACCAATCTCTCTTATGAACATAATCGCAAAAATTCTCAATAAAACACTTGCAAACCAAATCCAAAGAATATATCAAAAAGATCATCCACCAGGATCAAATAGAGAATCAGGGATGGTTCAACATATGCAAATCAATAAATATAATCCACCATATAAACAAACTGAAAGATAAAACCACATGATCATTTCATGTGATACAGAAAAGGCCTTTGACAAAATTCAACACCACTTCATGATAAAAAGTCTTAGAGTGATTAGGGATAAAAGTTAAAACTGTAAATAAATAAAATATCCAATAAAAAATAAATATATAAAAAGTACATACTGCACCAGAATAAAGGGCATTTACAGTAAGACCATATAAAATATCTACTTAAATGTAGAGAAATTCAAAGCATTTCCACTAAAATCTGGAAAAAGACAAGGTGGTTGACTATTTCCACACATACTCAACATTGTACTTGAAGTCTTAGCTAGAGCAATAGGACAACTGAAGGAGATCAAGGAGATACAAATTGGAAAGGAAGAGTATTATTATTTGCAGATGATATGATAGTATACATAAATGATCCTAAATATTTCCCCAGGGGAATTCCTATAGTTGAGAAACACTTTTTTTTTTTGGGATTTTTTTTTATTGGTTATTTTATTTATTTACATTTCAAATGTTATCCCCCTTCCCTTCCCAGTTTCCTCTCCACAAGTCCCCTATCCCCTCTACCCTCCCCCTGCCTCTATGAGGGTGCTCTCTCACCTGCCCACCCACTCCTGCCTCGGTGGCCTAGTGTTCCCCTATCCCAGGTCATCAAGCCTCTACAGGACCAAGGGGTTCCCCTCCCAGTGATGCCAGATAAGGAAATCCTCTGCTACATATCCAGCTGGAGCCATGGGTACCCTCTAAACACTTTAAGGAAAGCAAGTGGATACACATTTAAACCACAAAAATCAGTAGTAGCCTTCTCAGGTACAAATGACAAACGTTCTGGGAAAGAAATAGGAGAAATGGTTTCCACAGTAGGTTCAAATAATCGGAAATATATTGGGGTAACTCTAACAAAGCAAGTGAAAGACTTATATGATAAAAATTTTAAGTCTTTGAGGAAAAAAAATGAAGAAGATATCAGAAGTTGGAAACTATCAGAGACAGAAAGAAACTACAGAGTAAGGGACAGATCTCCCAAGGAAGGAGAAATAGAATAGATAGCTATGGAAACAGATACATCAGCTCTGATAGAAGAATAGTCATGAACACTTTGACACACGAAAAGACTTTCAGAACAAAATACCATGAGCACATGCACTAAGAACAAAAATTAATAAATGAGACTTCATAAACCTGAAAATCTTCTGTATTGCAAAGAACACCAGCATTCAGACAGAGCAGAAAGCTACTGAATAGAAAAGGATTTTTACCAACTACATATTAGATACAGGGTTAATATTCAAACTACATAAAGAATAAAAAACAGGAAGTTAAAGAAATAGTAGCTCAATTAAAAATTGGGCTATAGGTCTAAGCAGAGAATTCTAAAGAGGAAACCCAAATGGTTGAGAAGCACTTAGGAGATGTTCAAGTTCAATATCCTTCATAATCATAGAAAAGCAAATCATAAGATTTCATCTTGTACCAGTCAGAATGACTAAGATCAATAAAACAAGATCATGGTGACAAGGATATGGCGTAAGGGAAACATTCATCCATTGCTGGTAGGAACACAAACTTGTACAACCACTGTGGAAATCATTGTCCCAGTTCCTTGGGAAGATGGAAACCAAAGCACTCAAGATCCAGCTATGTGAGTCTTGGGCATCCTACTCCATCCTACTACAGAGACACTTGATTAACCACATTCATTATTAATCCATTCATAATAGCTAGAAATCGAAAACAACCTAGATATCCACCGATGGATGAGTGGATAAAGAAACTTTTTTACTTAGCAGTTAAAAAAGGGGTAATCATGAAATTCACAGGTAAATGGATTGATCTAGAAAAAAATTCATCTTCAGTGAAGTAACTCAGATCCAAAGACACATACGGTATGTATTCACTTACATGTAGATGTTAGCTGTTAAGTTATTGATAATCAAGCTACAAACCATAGGATCCCAAAGCTAGAGAATAAGGGGTTAGGGTAGAAAGATAAATGTCCCAAGAAAGGGGAAATAGAACAGATAGGTATGGATGGAAGAGTAAGTGTGTGTGTGCTGGGGATGGGAGATGGGGGAGGGGGACTAGAATGGAAAGATCAAATGGGAAAGAGGAGAGATATGAAGAATGGGGCAAGCAAGGGATATGGGAAAGAACATCTAAAATTAAGGGCCATTTGGAAACCTAATATAGTAGAAACTTCTTTAATATATACATATATGAAAAAAATGTAAATAAAATCACCAAATAATCAGTGAGACAGAGCCCCAACTGGATATCTCTCATCAACAATGAAACTTCCAGTACCAGCAGTGGGTTACATCTAATTGAGTTGCTGGTTAAAGAGGACCCATAAGAACCCCAAACAACCCAAGTTATTGTCCAAACTATTGGTAGCTATCCTCAAACCTATGGTAAGACCCTACTGCTGAAGACAACACCAACACAACTCATTAAACATGAAGAAACATGGTGCCTACATAGAGCCTTCACCCCTATGTGCTAGCATCTTTAGTAAAGGAAGTTATTATGTACACTATGAAAAGAGAAATGTAAACACTAACCTAGCCAAAAACCCTTTAATCTACAATGGTGTTCAGTCTACAGGATATGCTAATGAAATAGTGGCACAAAGCTGGTAGAGGTAATCAATCAATATCTAATTTGACTTAAGTCCACTCAATGAGATGGGACCCATACCCAAACACTGCTTGGTTGACCAAGAACCTGAGACTAGATAAACTAGGGTAAAACCAAACACTACTATTTTAAGACAAAACAAAACAACAACAAAATATAGCAATGACAATGACATTCTGCTATACTCATAAACCAGTGCCATGCTCAGCCATCATCAGAGAACCTTCCTCTTGCAGCTGATAGGAATAATGTATGGAGACCCACATAGCCAGACATTATGTTGAGTGAGAGATCTTGGAACACTCGGTTGTAAATGGTATGTCTCCATCAAATCCCTCCTCTCAGTTCTCAGAAAAGACTGAAGAGAAAATGAAAAGAGTGTAATAGCCAGATGAGATGGAGAACAATAAAGAATCAAGGCCTTCTAGATACAAGAGAACTGGCACACATATGAATCCACAAAGACTATGGCAGAATGCACAGGGTCTATACAGATGGGGTCCTAGAGCTGAAAGAAGTAGACACATACCTATCCCTAACCCACAAGCTATCTCCAATTGATATCCACTTACAAATGAAAAATTAGTTTTCTTCAAGGGAGTCCCATGGGGAAACAAAACATTCTTAAGGGTATTGCCCTGAGTCTAGCAGTAGGTGGTCAACATAAAATGAAGTTGATGGCATCTCTGAACATTCTCTGCTCATAATATTAAGACATGTTTTGTTTTGTTTGGTTTACCTTACAGGTCTTTTACCTAAGCCATATATTATGATTTCATGTTTTGTGTTTCTATGGGATGCTTGAGCATGTGAATGTGTGTGTCACTGCATCTATATATATTTCTTGTGTTTTTTCTTTGGGTCTTTTTCTCCTTTGGTTGTTTTTATCATATTCTGATCTACTTACTTCTTATTTATCATATTTTATTTTATTACTACTCCTTATATACCTGGGGTTTTTTTTTGTTTTGTTTTGTTTTTTGTTTCTAAGAGAAGGGTATGGATCTGTGTAGGAGTAGAAGTGTGGAGGGACTAGGAGGAGTTGTAGTAGAGAAATTCATAATCAGAATATACTGTACAAAAAATCATTTTCAATAAAAGACAAAAAAGAGCAGTGATACTTTCTAAAAAAATTACTTCTCTGGAAGAAGCTGCTATTGCAGTAAAGCTATAACAAATGTGGAGTTACAACTACATTGCAATTTCAGCTTTTTTCTTCTTTGTGTTTATTTTTTATTTTTGAAATTAAAATATAATTACATGATTTCTCCCTTCTCTTTTCTCCCTCCAATGCTTCCCAATACCCCCTTCTTACTCTCTCAAATTCATTTATATATTGTATGTACATATTTTAAATATAGAAACACAACTGCTCAATCCATATAAAGTTACTTGTATGTGTATGACTTCAGGGATGACCATCTGGTATTGGATAACAATTCTGGGGGCTATTTCTCTTTGGTAGAATGGTAAAAGCAAAGGCAATTAGGCTTTGTAATGACATCAATTCAGTACCTGAATAGTTGATTGTTGTCATCAAGGTTTTCTGATCCCCATCTACCTTTGATATCTTCGATCACATGATTCTTAAGAAATTTTCTTAATAGCTGAACAGTCTGTTGTCTTGTAACTTCAGGACCAAAATTACTATTACTTCTTAATAGATCGTAAAGCCAATCTACTGCTTCAACTGCAGTGAAACAATTGCTATATTTTTTTAAATGTTGTCTATGTTTTCTTAAAGGCATTCCTATTCGAAAAGATGTGGTTACTTCATTCCACTGCAAAGAGAAGAAAAATACTTTTAAAAAAAATATAGCAAAAACGAAATCTCATTGATTTGGGTATGTAGCCAGTTATAGGCTAGTTTGGGCTACAAGAGGCCCTATCTCAAAATAACCAAATGGAATAAAGAAAATCATTAGACAAAGAAAATTCTTTATTTCATAGGTAATTATACTGTAAATTTTATTGAAGAAAAAAATCATTTTATCTGTGTTACATAAAATCTTATCTCACAGATTTCTTATTATTAATTCTAGTGTCAAAATAATATTTTATTTTAACAGGCTTACTTTACTAAATACTCATTGGGCATTCCAAGTACTTAGGAAACTTCAGAATGAAAAGTATAATATTCCTATTTCTTAGTCAAAGAAGCATTTACTATTAGTTTTTTTAATATGCTGATAGCATTTATGCCAGACAATATGTTTATGTTCAGTATTTAACTATAAATCTCACAATTTTATAAAGATATTATTATCTCATTTCCATATAAGGAAAAGGAAGCACACACTGATAACTTGACAAAGATCATATATCTAAATCTGTGATTTTCAACCTTCCTAATGTTGGGACCCTTTAAGTTCTTCAGGTTGTAGGGATACCCAATCATAAAATTATTCCATTGCTACTTCATAACTGTAATTCTGTTACTATTTTGAACTGTAATGTAAATATCTGATATGCAGAATACCTGATATGCAATCCTCTAACAGGTCACTAAGTCTGTAATTCCAGAGGCTAAGCATGAACTTTGTTATGTTTAAGTCCTGGCTGGGCTACAGAGTGAGTTCAAGCCAGCCTTCACAACTTAGTGAAACCCTGTCTCAAAATTAAAAGTAGAACTGATGCAGTAAGTTTCTATCACAAAATAAAATCAACACAAAATGAAAAAACAAAAGGAAAAGACAGGTTTAACCAACTCTGCCTAGAATCTGTGTTCAGTTACAGTACTAGCCAGGTAAGACTTCTGGCATGCAGCAATTATAATGTCCAAGGGCTTTTATTGCTAGGTATTTAGTACAGTATCTTTTATGAAGATTCCTACAGTGCTGGGCATGGTGGCAAAGGTTGGTGGATCTCTCTGTGTGAGTTCAACGACAACCTGGTCTGCATGGTGAGTAACAGGACAGCCAGAACCATATCAGGGTAACCCTAACCTGCCTCAAAACAAAGAAACAACAAACAAACAAACACCTATAGTGAGCACAGTATAGATAAAATGATAAGCTATCGATTGCACATTTAATGAACTTATGCGTATTTATGTAAAGAAAACCACTTTTTTTCTGAGCTACCTTCAAATAAGTCAACTCTCTAGATTTGTGATATCGACACTAGAACATAATACAATAAACATATAACTTTTAATAGAGAAAAATCATGTTAGAAATCAGATTAACCTGATTGATGAGACTATTAATTATATTACTACTGTGTCACATGTAAGATCACAATATTGACCTTACACCTGAAGAACAGTAAAGAAACTTTATTGAACTGCTTCACTACAGTAGCAAAGTGACACCGACTCTACACTCACAGACATCACAGAATATTTTTTGAAATGTGATGGACTTATAAGGTACCAGAGTGAAACATTTAGCCTTTGCTTAAACTTTAGTTTACTTTTTGTTTATGAGTCTTTGTTCTTTCTTTCCTTCTCTGTACCTCAATATCCTTATATTAATACCTTGTGGTAATTTAAAAAAACCTTACTTTATGTACTTGGCATTTTTGATGGAGGGTGCTTATGTTACTTTCATCTAAAATAGTAAATTTTTAATGTGATAGGACTACCTCATTGCAGAACTAAATTTCATCCTTTATACTGATAAACATAACCACCATTACTTGTTGAGAAATAGAATATCAAGATCACTGTGCCAGAAAAAGGCTCATTTTCTAGTTCTTTCATTCACCATTTACGTGGCTTTCAGAGTTCCTTCTTTGAGCCTTAGTTCCCACACTGGTAAAGTAGGCCCAGCATTTGTGAGAGGATAATTTGCTTGTTATTCTATATACTACCACACATTCTCATACATAATATATTTTTAGAAAATCTCTTAAAGTGGGTATGCATTGTACCATTGTACCAATGTAGAAACTGAGGTTAGGTGAATCTCTTAATGCAATCCAAATGCACACACAGCTCCAGTGACTATTAAAAGTGGTAACTAAAAGAATTCTGGGTTTAGGCTCATAGTTCTTTCCTAGTGCTACTTACAAATTCTACAGGGTCAATAAGCCAAACTGTCATGCCTGGGCTTCCAGCCTTGAAACTTTAATTTCTAATTCCGAGAGGCTGTAAATTATACATGAAGACTGGCTAACACTATTATGAGAATTAGGGGAAAAGAAGACATCTGAGGAGTTGTCTTGCAGAATCAGAAAGTAGTGTGGGGAAGGTAGAGCACTTTGGATCTGAAGCTGAGAGACACCAGAGTGAAGTGCAAGTCAAAGAAGGAGACAGGAGCAGTCGTATTAGTTTCCCTCTGCACCTTTCTCAGAAATCTAGGCGCCTTGGCTCACTCAGAATACCAGATCCCTGGCTCATCTTGAATCTAGCTCTGCGTCTCCTCAGGAAACTTAAGTCTCTCATACTCCCAGGTCACCCAGGATCCCTCCGGAAACCTCGGTCTCTGGTATCTCTCCTCCACGTTCTTACCAGCTTGGTGGCCCGGTAAGGTCCAAGAGGAGCACCCTGACGCTCCATACTGTCATTGCCAGGTTGAATCCATGGAGGCGGCAGAAACAGCGCTGTACGTAGCAGGAACCTCAGTGGCCTGGAGATGGTGTCGGAACAACTGCCGCGCTGCTGATTTGAATATCTCGGAGCGAAGCTGATTGGCAGCGCCATTCAGTCACATGATGCTACACGGAGGGGAAGGAGTTGTGACGTGAGCACAGCCTTTTTGGGTGGTACCGGCGGGCTGAGGTGTTCAGATTCAAAGGGATTGTATAGCGAATGAGCTGCTGCAATGCTAATGTAAACCACAATGGGCTTTACCAGGACACTACAACTAAAAGGCTGACCTCTGTGTGTGTTTATCTGTCTCCTTTCAACTTCCCTCCGTCAGTCCGTCTCTCCCTCCCTGCTCCCCTCCCCCCTCCCCCCTCCCCTTCTAGGAAAGGTAATCATTTATATGACAACAATGACATAGAAATAATTTGCACAATATAGTGAAAACATTATGAAGATTTTGTTGTCACTGTTGAGAAAAGGCCACCAAAAAGCCTGGAAGTTAACCTGTATGGTAGAAATTCATAGGAAAAGGAACATTCTTTCAAAGTAGTTGACATTTATTTATAAATTTCACACCATCTGTTTTCTTGTCCACATTTACTTGCAATACCAAGATTTTCTTTCTCCTTCTACTTCTCTTACACTTGCCCATGATCTCTAATATTATGTGTGTATAAGTGTATATATTTACTAATATGTGTATTTGTATATGATTTGCTTTTTTCCACTGCTTTGTTAGCTTCTGAAAAGAGAATTTATTGAAATATTGAAAGGATATCGATAAGGGGAAATGGGTCTGTAAAGGTTTACTCTATGCAAAAAGGTTGTCTCATTTAGAAGTTTTTCTCTCAATTTGCCTAAATATACACTGAGCACACATTCATGTTTTGTTTACGAAGTGAACTAAATAAATAGATGATGTATTTTCTTAATCACTATGATAGTCTTAATGAACTATGTGGAATGGGTGGAAAAGTTATGAAGACTTTCTTTTTGGTAGGGGTTTGTTTAAGAAGGAAACATCAGAGTTGATTGTGACTTAGAGTGAGCCATGTGGAGACAGAATGTTTAATGAGAAAAAGAAACAGAATCATGAAGCCACGGTAGAATGGAATATTAAGGGAATTTTAAGAGTGATATGAAGTTTTACAGGCAAAGCATAACATGACAGTCCAGGTTACTTGCCTTCTAAGAGTTTCACCTTAAAACATGACAAATATATTCCTGTTAATTTTGCTTCTGATTTTAATAATCACTTTTCTGTAGATAGCTACTGTGCATGAATACCTTTATGCCTAGTTTTAGCTTCCTATAGTTTATTCTCCATAAAGCATCTAGTGAAATTCTTACCAGTTTGACCTTATTTTTTTCTTGTTTTGTTATGCATTTGTATTATATGGTATATGATATGCATTTGTATTATATCTACATAAACTGCACACAAGATATGTTTTGATTCTTATTTTCAGAGATCAAATGTATTTTACAGAAGTGTAAAGGACTACAAGAGTATATTAGATTTACATAGTCATTTTCTATTTCTGTTTACCTCTTTCCTTTTCAAATCTACTGGTCATTTGGGTGTTATTTCTTCTGTCTAAAGAAGTCTTTTAAAAATTCTTTTAGAACATGTTTGCTGACAATTATTTTTTAAATTGAATTTATCTTTATTTGGAAATATTTCATCATTTCTAAAAGAGATTTTTCTGTGAATATGAAGTTATGGGTTGACAGTTATTTTTCTCTCAGCACTTTATAAATATTGTTTCATTTCCTTCTGGCCTCAGTGAGGCAGCTATAATAATCTGATTAATTTCCCTAGAAATGGTACATTATTTGTCTTGAGCTGGTTTAATTGTATTTCTTTGTATATAGTTTTCAGTATTAGGAATATGGTAGTTCTGAATATGTATTTTTGTTGTTGTTTAGATTTGCTTTTCTTTAATCTAAAATGTATATCTTTTCTCAAAATGTAGGTAGTTTTTACTTTATTTACTCAATGAGTTATTTTTCAAAGATGATTTCTCAAAAGTTTTGTCAATGTATTATTATCTCCATCTAAGACTAGGATAATTTAAAATTTAATCCTGTATTATAGCTTCATGAGTTCCAGAGGTTCTACTTAAATTTAAAATATGTATTACTTTGTTTATCTAGACAATGATACATATTAGCTAGTTTTTTCATGTTGTTGCAAAATACCCAACATATTGTTTTGTAGTTTGATTATGACAGAGATTATGGTGACAAAAGCATTAGGCAATTGGACATATTACATCCACAATCAGAAAAACAAGAGGGATGAATTCTGGTAGTCAGCTGGGCTTGCCTTCCTTCCTTCCTTCCTTCCTTCCTTCCTTCCTTCCTTCCTTCCTTCCTTCCTCCCTGCCTCCCTTCCTCCCTTCCT